CTTTCAAAAGAAGTCACGAAGGCCATTTGAATGACGTTATATTCAGAACTTATTGTATTGATTTAAACCACATTAATTAAAAAAATTGAATTCCCTTAACAATTAGTGCGTTCTTATTTTAAATCATATCACTCTTATTGGAAACCCCTATTATATTTTCCTGAAATTTTGATCCAGCAAATAGTAGTATAGTAAGTAGCGTATTTGTCACCATTTTTTATCTTAGTGCATTCTTCTTGAAGTCGGTTGAGTAAATTCTTCTGGTTGCATTGAATTTTCACACGAACTGCTTGGATATATTTGTCACGTAGTGTTCAAAGGAATAAGATTTTTGATACATTTTTACATTTTTAAGTTATCGTGTATATTTTTTATGTAAACTTTATTTTTTGGAGAACCAACATTTTAACAAAAAACCTGCAGATCGAGTACAGAATCAAGGGAATCCAAAATGTTTCAAAATTAATCTGTGACAAGTACTAAAAATTCATAAAAATTACAAACAATCGCGTTTTTTCTAACTTACAGGTGATAGAGACGCGTAAAGCAATTAAGTGTATATATTTGATTTATAYGCTATCATGAGAGGTGGAGGAGTAATAATAAAAAATTTAGTTTTTCAATTTCTATTCTAAATATGTAGGGTCTGAAATGGAACCCTCAGAGTTATCAATTCATTACTAGTTTTTATGAAGTTTTGATAACATTTTTGAGTTCCATGGGGAAACTAGAAGTGTGTCATAATAATAATTTATATAACTATATACGTAACTATATTATTAAGTTGCCATTAATTTAATTACACTTGGCATACTGTGGTCGCTCTAAGCCTTGTTAGATAGGTTCTCACTGAATTGCTTTGAAAAAAAAACCTTATTGGGAGCCTTTTATATTGCAGAAAGGCAATACCTTTTTTTCTGCTTAAAGGAATTTTCCCAGCTGTGTACTTTCCGCTTAAAATATATATTTTTCATAATAAATTATATTTTTTAAATTAAATGTTTGTGCAGAAGTTGAATTAAGTGTTCTTTTTTTTGTGTTTGGTTTTTTATTTTTCTG